CGACCCCACATCTTTGAGTGGATTTAAGTATATAGATAATAGACCATATATACCAGAAAACTATGTATTTAAAAGAATGGAAGATAATCTATTGATTGGGGCTAATGGTAATATATTTACAGTACAAGGAAAGAGTGATGTTATAAAAAATGAATGAAATTGCATACGAACTTCATAAGCCTGCAAGAAAGAATTTCATTAGAAGGTCTTTTAAATTATTAGGTATAAACGAAACTGTACAAATAGATTTAATTGATATGCAAAACTATGCTAGAGAGAATTCTGGCAATAAATATATTTTAACTTTAATAGATACATTTTCTAAAAAAGCTTATGCTGCTCCGCTAAAGAATAAGACGGGTTTGGTGGTTACAGAAGCCATTAAAACCATTCTACCAAAGGGGGTTAAAAACATTCAATCTGACAATGGAAAAGAATTTTTTAATCAATATTTTAGCAAACTAATGAAACAATTAAATATTAATCACTATCACACATTTTCTACAACTAAGGCTGCAATTGTGGAGAGGTTTCAGAGAACTTTAAAGAATTGGTTATATAGGGAATTTAGTGCTCAGGGGAGTTATAAATGGTTGGATTTACTTCCAAAGTTAATTCGAAAATATAATAATAAGGTGCATAGATCTATAGGAATGAAGCCTAACCAAGTGAATATTAAGAACAGTAAATATGTGCATGAGAGGTTGACTTCTAAAGTAGTGCAAGTTAAAAAGCCAAGATATAAGGTAGGTGATAGTGTGAGAATTTCCAAGTATAAACATGTTTTTAGTAAAGGATATACCCCGAATTGGACAGGGGAGCTATTTACAATAGCAGAAGTAAAGAATACAAAGCCTGTGACTTATATCTTGAAAGATGAAAATGGTAATATAATCAGGGGAGGCTTCTATACAGAGGAATTGTTAAAGACCAAATATAAAGACATGTATTTGATAGAAAAGGTTATTAGGAGAAAAGGTGATTTATTATATGTCAAATGGCTTGGGTTCCCAAGTAGCCAGAACTCATGGATTTCCACTAAGGATGTCCAAGGGAGCATGCCATGAGCCGGGAGCGCGCACGAGTTCGCATACAAACCTCGCT